ATAAAAGGGAATTTTGTTGAACATAAGTATCCAATAAAATGTTTCAGTACATAGTGCTGATGTCAAAATGCTGTTTCCTGTCACCTGCCAGCTGCCTTAGATTTGAGCTGTAAGGTTTATCTTTTTTTTTTTTTGGTACCAGGGATCGAACTCAGGTCCTTGGACTTGTGCAGCAGGTGGCGAAACAACTGAGCGAAATCCCCGGCCTCTAAGGTTTATCTTAAGATAAGAATTTCCCTGGAACATGAGCAAAGGAAGGAATCTTAACACTTTTTTGTACTCTTAAGATGTTCCCGATCATCAGATCTTTATCCTTAACTTACAGACTCTGAACAGTTAATTATGTTCTTAAACTTACAACTTTTATAAACTATAAGTACATGAAATTTCATTGGGCTTTTAAAAGTTTGACTTTAAAAAAGTTTAATTAAAAATGAAAAATGTATTGAGGGATAGCTAAGTCAATGTGCATTACTCCACATATTCATTGTTGTGTGTTAATGACATGTAAAATCCACTCTTAGCAACTAAAGAATATACTTTATTATTAACTAGTCACCATCGTGTACAATAGATGTCTTGAATCTATTCTGAGATTTTGTATCCCTTGACCAACATCTCTCCAACCCCCACCCCTCCCCCATACTCCTGGAATAACCACCAAGCTATTGTCTCCTGTGATTCACTTATAGATTCCAAATATAAGTGTTTGGGTTGCTTCACTTCAAGTAACATCAACCAGGTTCATCCAAGTTATGGCAGGATTTACTTTTTAAGTCTGATTCATGTGATTCCTTGTGTAGGTATACATTTTCTTCATCCATCCATGGACACCAAGTTTGATCCTATTTTGGCTATTGTGACTAATATTACAATAAATGCAGGGAATACAGCTTTTTCTTCAACATATTCATTTTATTTCCTTTAGATCTACACCCAATAATAGGATTGTTGGACTATAGATGTGACAGTAGGGCTAGGTTATCAATTTGATTGGCTTGAGAGCCACCTCAGGGATTAGTGAAGCATGCTTTTGAGTGTGTCTAGGTAGGTTATTGAGGCATGACTTTGGGGTCTATATCTATTCCTTTACCCCTGCCTCTTTTATGCTCTTCTATGTTCTACTTCCTGGTCATGCCAGAAACAATAACTTTCCTCCCCCACGCCCTTCTGCGAAGATGTACCTGCCTTGGAGCAAGCTGAGCATGGACTAAACCTCTGACACTTTAAGCCAATTAAATCTTTTCTCCTTTATATGGCATGTGTCAGATATTTTGTCCCAGTGATAGGAAAGGTAATTCAATAGGGTAGTTCGGTTTTGAATACTTTGAGGACCCTCCATGGTGTTTTCCATAATGGCTGTGCTTATTTACACTCTCACTCACAGTGAGGCTTTTCTCCTCACCAACATTTTTTCATACTAGCCATTCTAACATGGTAGGAGGTAATAAATCATTGCAGTTTTAATTTGCATTTCCCTGGTTAAAGTGTTGAATGTTTTCATATGTGTGTTAACCATTTGTATGTCTTAAGAATGTCTCTATTCTTTGCCCTTTTTAAAAATCAGGAAGTTTTCTTGCTATTGAGTTTCTTATATATTTTGGATATTAAGACCTTATCAGATGGATGAAGTTTTCTCCATCCTATAGGCCAGTGGTGGCCATGTGCCTCAGCAGGCTGTTATTAAAATCTGTAAAAGGTTTGCCATCCATGCTATAAGCTGTTTCATCAATGACTTAAAATTTATTTTCCTATCAGTAAGTTAGACATGAGCAGCAAACCAGAAGCCTACTACCCCAAGGAAGGGTGGAGTGCAGTCTGACAGGATCTCCTCTTATAAACTTACATAGTACCCCAAACTAGGAGAGGAGAGAGAAGAAAGGTATGGTCCCTTGGTAGAGATTTCCACAGGCAACCAGGATGAGGAGCTGGACAACAGCAGGTCTTATCTCCAAGAATAAATGTCCATCCTTAGGGATTTAGGGAAACAACTCCCGTATGTGAAAGGAAGAGAATGTTGGGAAATCTGAAACCAACAGTGGTATGTTTACAGAGCTAACACTCTACATGGGAACAAGAGACTAGATTGCCAAATAACTACTACACAAAATAGTGGCAGGGCAAGTAAAAGAAGCAGTGATTTTATTCAGGAAAACCCAAGATATACAAAAATGACTTATTCTGGTTTAATTTGATCAGTTCTTCAAAGAGAAGACAACCCTCAACTAGAAATTAGTTTTGTAAGGTTGGAGGAAATAGTGAAGATAGAGAAGCGTTTGGGATGGCAAATTATTCTTTTATGTGATATTACAGGATATTTAAAATTGGACAAGTGCCATAAAAATAATTTAAGAGTGAGGAATCTGGGAACAATAAAGTTACTGATCTAGCTAAGACAATATTAATAGACTACTCAAGTTAATGGTCCCAACTGATATTTCTCCCTACGGTAATGATTCAAATTCAAACTTAGTAATTTTGGCCAGGAGTTATTCAAGGATAAACTGTAAAATCTTTCCTTCAAAAAGTATTCATTCCTCTCTGTGGTCATACTAGGTTAATAAGTGTTCCATGGTTAGAAAACCAGTAGCACTATATCTATAGAAATATATTCTATAGGACATTTTTCTTAATATTCTTGGAAAAGGGCTCCCATGGTGAAATGTATTGGAAATAGGTACTTGCTGTCTGAAGTTTCACAGGATGGTAATAGCTCCAGAAGTCCCCTAAAAAAACCTGGCAGATTCCAGGAGAAGATTAAGCACTACAATTATTCTCTTTGGCTGGCTCCAGCATGTATTTTGTATTAAGAACCAGGGCATCACCCTCCCTCAAAAATAGGGCTAAGTTGACTCTAAGTGACTTCTGCTGCAGGTGCTATGTTAGACCAGGGTCTCTCTCAGTGGGAGGCCCAAATTCCTGGCTTATCAGATCAGTTTCATTTATGCATAATTAAATCCATTTATTTCTCCCAGAAAGAGAGGTGACTTTAGAATTATGAAGTGGCAACTCCTGGTCAGATTTTCCATATTTTAAATTTGGTTGGTATGAGAGTTGAATTTACTTCAAGACAGACACACTATTCAGTTACTGGAAAATGTAGATGGGGTTATGGAAGTGCAAAAGTTGGAAAGATAGATTTGACATATTACCTAGAAGTATATGGTATTTAACATTTACAAGACTTGCTATAAATATATACTGGCCTGAGACTGAATATGGAAATACAATCTCTTGTTAGTTTGATACTATAGAAGTTCAATAAAATATATTTTTCTATTTTAATCTGTTATGTTTTCTCTAGGGGACTTCTGGAACTATTGCCATCCTGTGAAACTTCAGAGAGCAAGTACCTATCTCCCATACATTTCACTGTTGGAGCCTTCTTCCAAGATTATTTTGAAAAATGTCCCATAGAATATATTTCTGCAGATATATTGCTACCGGTTTTCTAACTCGAATACTTATTCATTCCTGTGTTGGTCAGACTAGATTAATATTTTGTCAAGGAAAATTGTTTACAATTTACTCCTGAATTGAATAGCCCCTGGCCAAAATTACTCCAAGTTGAGTCAATTATACTTGAATTGTTCGGTGACCAAGTTAACTACTATCACCACTGCAATCAAAGACCATTGCTCTTGTCCTTTAGAAGTCTCAGCCTTGAGAAAAGGTTGTCACTAGTCACAACCTTTACATGTAGCAGTTTTTCTCCTCAAGCACCATCTGGGCAAGCCTAGGAAGGACCTCCATTAAATTGAACCTGTGTCTCCCACTGGAAGCTGGTCCCTCTGGATTGCTTAGTATTTTCAGCACAATACAAAGGTAAGAATCCAAGTTCTGGAGTTATATTCAGGTTGAAATTGCAGCTAAACTCTGTTGACCAAGTTCCACTAGAGGAGTTATTTAGTCTTTTTTTCATCCCAGATTCTAGACATTGGAAATGAACATCCAACTTTTCATTGCCATGAGATTCAAATGCATTAGCAATAGGCACCAGATATCACTGCTATCATATGAAATGCAGATAGTAACCCTGTGAGTGGAGAGAGTAATATCAAATATCTATTCCCTGCTTAAAAGTAGACTGAAGTGAGGTTGGCTTGATTACAAAGCATCCACTAGAGTCAAGAGTAACATTTGTTATTTCATAAATCTGAAGTAACCTATATTTCTCTTCCTTGAAGAGGGAGAAATAGGGTAACCTTATTTACCCAAGATTGGTTTTCAGAGCATCATCACGGGAGCAGAGAGCTCCTCAGAATGACCAGTAGCAGTTACTAGAAAGTTCTTTGAACAAGACATTTCCCTTGAGAAGTCAGTGGTTGTATCTTGTACTTTCCCACCAAACTTGGTAACTACTAACCTAGGAGACTGCTTGTCAGTTCTGGCTTAAAACTAGGTCTTTTCTGATCAAGTCATTTTTAGGTGACCAGCGAAGATCAGATGCCTCCTTTCAGCTACTAATCCAAATATTGTTTTTCAAAATTTGATGCTCTGATTAGGAGGATCTGCATCATGTAGGAAGTGGTTGGAAATCCCAGTTCAAGGCTAAGTGCAGAGCTATTGAATTCAGCTAGGGAATATAGCCCTCTTTGGATTGAGGCACCTTGCAGTTAAGAAACCAGTGGTCTAGAAAGTTCTCCTACTCACCTGTAGGTTTTACAGGGCTTTTCTAAAGTATCCTCAGCACCTTGGAGGAGGATCATGGCCCCCTTGCTATATGCTATTTCTACAATTGTTTGGTTGCTCTCATCTCATGGAAGTTTTATTCTATACTCTATCCTCTCGAGTTTATGAAGCCTGTGGAGTCTGAGATACCTGGTTCTTATACGTACTGCTTGAATTGTCAACCATTCTACCAGTATGCTTAATCTACTCAGGAGTAGAAGACACTGACATACTTGTACCACCCCAGCCTAGAAAGATGAGGTACCAATATCTGATTGGCTAATAACACCTTCACTTTTTACCCTTCAAATAAAAAGCTCAGCACATGCTGGGATTGCAGTCTAGTTTTATTGACACATTTGGTCTGAGTACCTCACTTCTGTCTCCTGATAGCTAAATAGGATACTAACAAGGCTCCAATGATGAAGGTGCCAGCAAGTCCTGCCACCCACAGAGCCTGGGGATCCACAGGAGCACCTAGAATATAGAAAGTTAGATTAGCAGATGCTGGAACCATCCAAGTGAGTCTGTGTCAAAGACTGACAGTCTTCAATAGGAAGATGTTATCTTTTGAGGAAAATACGGCAAGGAATAGGAATGAGGGTAGGACATAGCTTTGGTTTGATTGGTGGTTCAGGTAGCTAGTGTGGTGTCTTCTACTCACCTGTAGATTTACGGGGTTTTTCTGAAGGATCCTTAACAGCTTGGAGTAGAATCACGGGGACTTTACTAGAAATGCTTGCAGTACTGTTTTGAAAATACAGGTCAGATTTTCTTCTTCCTGTAGGAGAGATAAAATTTTAACAAATGACTAGTTATTATTTTTGCACCCATGGTGTTAGGGTTAGGGATTGTTATGGTACAAGGCCAGTCTCTTAACACATAGAGCTGTCCTACACTTCAAAGAAACCTATTAGTGTGTTAATACATATTTGTGCCTTTTATTTAGCACTTACCTCAGTGTCACCAGAATTTGGGCACAGATTATGTCAGAAACAACCCTTAAACTACCACCCTTTCCTCTTAAGGGATGCTTTCTTTGACCATTGCATGTTTGTAACTCAGTTACCTTTGCATTACAGGGAAAGTGTTAAGGCAAGAAGGAAGAACAGATCCATTTTAATCCTGATTTTACTTTTCAGTTATATGGTTTAGTCCTTTAGAAAGTAATGGTACTAATGGTACAATACGTGATTGGAGCTGGATAAATAGTCCAGGCAATGCCTTGCTGAAAGAGTTTCTTGAGTTTTTCTTTTACTGGGAAGGACCTAAAGCCACAGAGATCATAAATCCAGCCCAGGAGTGAGACAAGAATCCAGCCCAGGGGTGAGACAAGTAACAGTGGACCAGGCAGAAGTCCATGTGCACTGTGAAAACCCTGGCCTGACCAACTAGAGTGTATATTCAAGGTCTATAGTCACAGTCCGCTGAGAAGGCTTTAGACCATGTTGCAGATTGCTTTCAGTTGGGTCTAGAGTAGCCAGTGGTTCTGTTAAATTGAGCTAGATGAGCAAGGAACAGTTGTGCACACCTACAATCCTAGCACTCTGGGGTGCTAAGGAAGTAAGACTGCAAGTTCAAGCCCACTCCAGGCAACTTTAGTGAGACTTTGTCTCAAAATATTTAAACAAGACTGTGGATGTAGCTCAGTGCTAAGGCCCTTTGCTCAATTCCCAGTACTGTGAGGGTTGGGATAGGGATGGGAGCAATCAGCCTGGACTGGTCTGGTTTCTGGCTTAATCAGTTTATAAAGGAAAAAGCCAAGGTTAGAGCATCTATTTATAGCATACATTTTAAAAGACCTGTTTCTAGGAATCTAGTCTCCACTTTAATGCATTGTAAGCACTTAGATGGTTTAATGAGATTGATATTCAGTTTGAACCACATGTCTAGAGGCTGAGAAAGGTTAGAAATGGGCTCAATAGAAGAAAATAGAAATAGGTAGCTGGGACACTCACGGTTGGCAGGAGGACAGGTGACCATGCAGGATGGCATCCCTGCAGGCTGGCACACAGATGCACTGCAGTGCAGAAACACCTGAGAGACAACTGAATTCAGGTCATGGTACAGTACCACCTGCCACCATTTTCCAGCCTGCTTTGTCTCCCCAGGAAGTTGAGGTAGCTATCAGGAATCTAGTTCTATCAAGAGTCTAGATGGCAGATGGCATTCCTGTCCTTGGTACCAAGGGCTGCACTAAGACAGTACCATCAGCCAGCATTAAAGGGCCCCTGGATATGGGGGGTGGAGGGGTTGAACAGAGGGCAGGAGAGTGGGAAAAATATGAGTCAAGATATATCATGTACAGGTACAAATTCTCGATGAATGTCATCATAAGGTATACCTAAATGTACCATAAAATTTGAACCTAAGTTTTTACCTTGAAAATAAATGGCCCCTAGGCTGAGATGTGGTAGGTTGAGGAAGTAGTCCTAAGTGAGGGCAGTCTAGAGCCTAGCTAAGGGGCATGGAAAGAGGCATCTTACCTGTCCACTCAGAGCCTGCTTTGCCCTTGCAGAGTCCACAAAACTGAAGGTAGAGAAACTGAAGCGCTGGTGGTGCGAGGGAAATGGCAGCGATCTCTCCACAGGGATCTTCTGAGTCTGGTAGTTGTCTCCAGTGTAGGGGCAGCTAAGCCAAGAGACTTGAGTCAGGAGTGCTTCTTTGAGGGACTTGTACAGATGTACAACTACTTACCCTTTTACCAGAATGGGCCATTGTGGATGGTGCAGGGGGTTGGGGCTAGTTGTAGCCCAGCACTGCTGTAGGAAAAGCCCCAGGTTGGGGTCTGTCCTGTGAAGGATGGAGACCTCCACATAGATTGGATCCCGAAGGAACTTCACCACTGGGTAGTCACTAGCCACATAGTAGGAGCCATAGTTCTTATCTGCACAAAACCAAGGTAGTCAGAGTGGTAAATGTAGCGCTAGAAACTTTAAGTCACTTATAACCACCTCTCACCCCCTAAACACCTGTACACACATCCTGTGACAGCTTAGGGTCTTCATGCCCAGAAACATGAGGATTTTGATTACAGGCTGGGTGCTCCAGCCAAGAAAGTCTTACCTTTGGCTATCTGAAGTTCTAGAGTGAGGGGTCCAGGCTGGGTCTTGGGGAGGGGTGGTGAAATGGTTAACACCTGGACATGAACTGGGAGTGTGTTACTGTTTAACGAATAGCTGCAGCTGACTCGAAGCCTGTGGAAAAATAGTTTTAGCTTGCTAGCTTGTGTGGGTTAGACACAAATGCTTTGATTTTACCCCCTGAGCAACATTAAGTGATGGACGTGGTCCTTGGTCTTGTGGAAGTTGTATTTTAGTCAGACCAATACATAAATTGGAACATGAGTTAGAGATAAAACCATATAATAAACATGGTACCATGAGAAACAGGTGTCTACTGTAGAGAAGGTCAGGGAACATCTTACAGGTGACTTCATAGGAGGAGAATGGTAGGGACCACACAGAGGTACAGGCGGGAGGGGACACTTGACCTAGAACAGAATATGTAGGTGACAAGGAACTCAAGGCCTTTGGAAGTGTCATAAAAGAGGAAGCAGCCTGGGATTGGGGAACAGTCAGCTGGGGACAATGTCAGAATCAGGCTGGAGAGGGACACACGAACCATCTCACCATGGGCCTGAAGGTTATGGTCACATTGGAAACTTTATTGATGCAAAAACAAGGGAAAATTAAGTGTGAGATCTGGCCACAGTAAGGTCTCAGAGATTTTTGGCTACAGCTCAGACCATAGCAGTAGAAGACAGGCCAAAATGAGCAACAGAAAAACCAGGTGGAAGAGCAGAAGTCCAGGTAGGTGTGAGACAGATCAAGTTGGTGGCAGATACAGACTCAAGTTGAGGCCAGCAATGAAAGGGGGGGCATCATTCTGCCCTTGCAGTGTTAGGTTAATTAAGATCTTACCTGAAGATGCTGTCACGAGTGATAGAGCCATGACCCCAAGTTCTCACATCTCTTTTGGCAATTAACTCATTTTCATACACTGTCTTGTCTCCAGTGACCTGCAGGAGTGGGTAAAGAGGAGTCAATCATTCCTGCTAGCCAGATGCCACTTCCCTGAATTTGCTTTGATCTAGATCTCCGGGACACTATTGTGTGAGACATTTCCTGATCCCTGAGCACAGGAAAGAGCAAGTTCAGGAATTATTGCTTTGCCTTACTGTGAAGAAAGGAATGGGGAAGAGCTTTGAGTGTTGGGTGAAAGCAGTCTGCAACCCTCCCAATTTCCCAAACAGTGCAGGGCAAAGAACCTGTTTTCTATTTTTCCTTCTAAATTGGGAGCAAGTGGCAACTGAATCACATCCATGATGGCCTCAGCTGAATGGACAGGAAAAGTTTCTCAGTGCTGAGGTGTTCTTTCGCCCTAGACAATGCCCTACACCTCAAGCAGGTGTCAGGACTGTCCTCTTTTGTTCATCTCTGGGATCTTCCCTCCTGACCTCTAGAGCCAGACACAAAGTCCAAAGGCAGCCTGTCCTGCTCACCCAGCTTGTGGTCCCACAGGAAGTAAATGGAAACCGGAAGAGGACGAAGGCACTGGTTACCATCACGGGCTCACACCCGCTGTCATTCCCAAGGACCAGGCGCACAGAATCCAAGTGCAGTGGGGGAGAGGCTACTTCCCGGGACACAGCAATGGAGAAGTGGCCCTCTCTACAATGTGAGGTCACTGCAACACCAGAGGAACAAGGAGGGCAAATCATCACTCCCGTGATTGGGTCAGTGGACAGAAGTCCAATGACCTCCTTGCTCTGATTACCCCCTCTCCCTGCCCATAACTATTGGTATTTCCACTGGTAAAATGGGAATAAGTTCAGCTGTCTGCAGCTAACCTAAGGCTCAGAACCAGGACTGACTAGAATTTTGCCTCTTCTACCTGGTGTGTAACCCAAGGCAAAGGATTAATTTCCTCTCTTCAGCCTCATTTATAGGGCAGGGATAGTAGCACCTGATTAGCCTTAGATTTCAGACCTGAGAGTGTGACATATAATTCCTCATTTAGGGGGAGTTTATATTAAAAAGCCTTGCAGCATGATTCAGGACCTGTGGAAAGTGGGCGCCTTGGAATAAAGCTCTAAACAGCTGCAGATAGTCAACCACTAAAGCTATCAGGGGAGGGGGGTTCATCACTTAGAAGATGCCTGGCACAGAGACTTAAGTTTCTGGAGTTTTCTTTGTGTATAGAGTGTAGGAGAGAAGACAATGGAAGGCTGTAGAAAGCTCTATTCTTTAGAGTCCAAAAGTTCTAGGAGACATTGCTTATATGTGAGGCTCCAGTTACTTAATGTCTGCCTTCTAAGCAAATCCATCCCCTTTCCTCTGGGTTTCACAAGTAATAACTGGGGATTTTCCTTAGCTGGCTCAGACAGTGCACCTGTGTTTCCATAGTAACAGGAACTGGCTTCTCCTGCAGGGCTGAAGCAGCAGCCCAGCTCTTCACAGTCTCCTTGAGAAGTTGGAGGAGACACACACAGTAATCTGTCCTCCACAGGCATGGAATTACACAGGTCAGCACCTGGAGCATCTTGAGCTGGATGCAGAAAAGAAGAGTAGCTCAAGCCAGGAAGCAGAAGGCTGTTTTGTCACTAAGCCTCAGCATTGAATGCCTAGACAGATATTTGCAATAGGTCTGCTCACATTACATGGTGGAGGTTAAATCATAGAAGGCTAGGTAAATATGAAGTCACTTTGTAAAGGGGCTTCTGAAATATGTTTTTTGATGGGAGGGATACCTAGAGACCAGTAGAAATAGTGGGGCTACTTACTTTCATTCCCATGAGGACCCTTCTCAAGCTTTAGCATGGACCCAAGTTACCTACAGATAACTTGTTATGTTCTTCACAAAATGTAGGGTGGTCTGTGACTTCCATTTTAGCAGTATCACCCATCCAGACAATTTTGAGTAGCCGGGCAGTAAGGAAGGTGAATTCCAGGTTCAAATCTGTTCCCACTGTGAGGTGGGCTCATAGATGTGGGGTAGGCATTATCCTTCCTGCTAATTTCCCAGGTAGTGGATCAAGTAGCCCCAGCTGGGAGGCAGGAGACTTGCATCCTAGTCTAGGAGGCAGAGCTAGCTTCTCTTGGATATTTGTCAAGTCTCCTTGCTAGCTCAACTCCTTTTTTTTGTCCTTCCCAATGGCAAGGGCTCCTAGTCCTGGGCTAATTCTTGTTTGAAATCCAGCACTTCGGGAATGAATGGCTATAGCAAGCTGACTGCAATGGCCAGTGCTAGTCATTATAGCATCTGGTAGTGATTAGGAAGACACAAGTAGAGCCACACTGCCCTCCCACTGCTTAGAAGAAAGCTGGGAGAACCACTCCTTTCTGAGTGTCAAGCGTCACTGCAGAAAGAGCAGGAGGCCTGAGGTTCCCACCAAGGTAGCTGTACTCACCCAGAGCCTAAAGTTTAACTGTTACCTGGAAGAGTCATGGGACACTTGAGTAGCCTCTTCGTGAGCACTGTGTGTCCAGCTGCATCTGCCTCTTCCACCCCAATCGACAGGATGTAGTGAAAGCCCTGAAAAGATGGCCCTGGAAAGTCAGCCTGGCTGCTGGTAGGAGGGTCTCAGTGTTCTAACAACTGAGTCCTACTTACCCACTCCTTGACATAGCAGCCCCTATAGTTGGCTTCCAATATCACTGAGCCACCAGGGTCCTCCCTCACCCACATGCCACACTCAGAGTTGTTCAGCAGCCTGTGTGGAAGCCCTTGGTGGTCTGCAGGGAGAGGTCAAAAGCACCAGTGGTCAATCAGCCTGGTTACCAGTGCAGGGAATGGACAGCTAGCCAAGCCTCTAAACCCCTGAACCTGTCAATAAGGGGAACTTGATGGGAGAGAGCTTTAGAGGTAGGTCTATCTCAGGTTGGTCTGCAGACAGGTGCCACAGAGGTCCTTAAAGAAGGAAAATATCAAAGCAGAAAGCTGGACAGCAGCTCTCGGCAGCAGAGGTCTTGGCTAAACCAGCAATGGACAAACCTACCCCAAGCTATGAACACAGGCAGCATTCCGTCTCGGCTGAGAAGGTTGACAGTGAACTCGAAACTCTGCTTCCCACAATGGAGCACACCGGGCTCACTTGGAGTGCTCAGCATATGCTGACCACTCAGGACAAATGACAGGGAGAAACAGAGCAAGATGCACTGCACGAGCCACATGGTGCCACAAGGAGTCCCGGCTGACTGTGAGTCTCCCTCCTCTTCTCCCATGAGCCAGTCTTCCCTAGCACCAGATTTTCTTATATACAGAGAGAAGGCTTGGTTTCAGGTGTGCACCTTTAACACCTGCAGGCAAAGTGCCTTTGGAAAGGGCAGTTTTTCCAGGCTCTTCCACTTTCAGGGCACAGGCTGCAGCTGTGTCACATTAACTAGTACAATCCAGGGGCATCTTCAGAGCCCAGAGAAAATGCAGTTTCTTCTAGGTAACCAAGGCTTTCTCAGGTTCACTTGTGTGGTGCCAGGTTCCTGATTCAGACCTTGTAAAAATTGGCATATATGGGTGTGGGTTCCAGCTCTGCCATCTGCAATGATGAGATTCTGGTAAGTTACTACTTCTCAGAATCTTGGTTTTTTTCTTTGGTAAGCAGGGAAGAATGTTTCCTGGCAGCAGTGAGGGTTTGAGTGAGAGATTCCCTATCAAGTGCCCAGCATAGTTCTTGGCCAGACAACAAGGGCTCAACCAACATTATTGGGTGAGAGTTGGTGTCCTTTTTCCTCTTCTAGGCTTTCATGAGAAGTCACTAAACAGTTGGTTTCTGACTTGAAAGCTCAGAAAAAGTTAAACCTGATTCCTGAGAAATAATTGACTTCATTAACCTCCTAGTTCCGAGAGGCTCAGAAGAGAAATCTCTTCTTGACAAATTTCAAAGTTTTAATTGCCACAATTGTCCTTTCAGGCAACCTACAAGGAAAGAGGGGGGAAATGCGGATAGGTCATCAATTCCCCAAACTAGCTCTGCTTCTTGCATTTACTTAAACTTAGTGTTTTCCTCTATCTGGGGCATTTTCAGTGAAGACACTGAGGTTTCTTATTTGTTCACTTTCCACACTTTTGTCTTCTTTGTCATAGAACACAAGGTATTTGCTTTGGGCTCTCTTTAGCTCAGTGTCTGACCAGGCTGCTGAGAATTCCTGAGAGATTTAGGGATGAGCAGAGATGAGACAAGAGTCTGGAAATCGGCTTCCCTGGTTTTCCACCAATGTCGCCAAAAAGTCATCTGATTGCATTTACCCTGACATTTATCATTTGAAAAGTTTTCCTGAGTTGACTAAAAATCCCGGCTAAAGCACCCAGATTATGTAGCCAGGGATCTCTGATTCTTTTTAATGAAAGAGAACATGTAGATGTGTCTTCCGGGGAAATTGGGTGACCACTTTAACCACGTGGTGACAATCAAACCTGAGAGTATGTGGACTCTGTGCTCTCACAGGTGGGAATCAGCTTCCTGACACCCTCCACCTGGGTTAGGTGCTCAAAATGCGGGCGGGGGTGGGGGATCACATCCCAGTTATTTGGCCGCTGGATTAACCACATTGAATTGTAACATCTTCCTTACTCAGTTTCCCTAATAGAAGCACGTGAGGACAGACATTATGCTTTACTTGTCCTTGCACCCTGAGTATAGAGTGAATCAACTTTTGTTAGTGCCTGGGCCTGTGGCCGTACCCCTTGAAAGTGTAGTTTCCAAACCTCACTGGTCTGGAGTCTTTCTTTTATGGCAAGCTCAAACTCACAGCCCTTAGGTATTTTTCCTTTAAGTAAATATACATATGATTGCATGGATAAGAACAAATATGAGGAGTAGACATCTACAAAATGTCTCGGGAGTTAAAAGTTCAGTCTCCTAACTAAACTTACTAATGCTGCTTTATAAAGTGGAAAAACCAAGGTGTGTGGGCATTTTGCCAATACTTGGAGACATATAATGGACTGGTTAAATGGGAGATGTTATCACAACTGCAGTAGACCCTTATCTTATGAACTGGATGGGTTCTCCAGGGCTGGATGTAACTAAATCAATACAGCTGAGATTTGGATGTTTACCTGGGTACACACTATGGATAACAAGAGGAATCTTCCATTAACTTAACCCAAGTTGTTCATATGTCAGGCAGGTCGTAACTTGAGGGTCCACTGTAACAGATTGTTGGTAGATAATGTGTGTACAGTGCTTCTCACAGTGCTTATTGCATAATAATCACTCGCTACATGTTACTATAAAAAAGACCTGCCAGGGGGATAAATGTGTGATTTGAGTCTGAGGGAAAACAGATGCCAAGCAACACGCTCATTGGATCAGTGGAGAGGGGAGTGTGAGGAGCATCCTGGTCTCGAGGCTCTGCAATGACATGGGGTTGTAGGGAAATCTACCCAGTATGATGCCAATCACCTGGAAGCTGCAGAAGGCCAAAGATGAGTCCTAAGGTAATGCCACGGGGTTGGAATTTGGTGACTTTATGCCGTGCCACATCTTTCAAGGATGTGGTTATTTTACTCATCTATTCAAATTCAGATTAAGAAAATGTGGTGACAATGTGTGGGTGTCCTCAAGAAGCCCCAAGCTTAACACATAAAGTGTCCTTCCTACTATTATCTCAACTCTCTGTCTTCTGAATTTGGAAGGGTGAGTGCTAGTCTTTATCTTATATCAGAATCACCTGCCATTTAAAACTCAGTACCATTACAAGCAGATTAGGAAGCTCCATAACTTGTAGAGACTTACCCAAATCCAGTAATCACTGCCATATCATTGGATCCATTGTATAGGCAGATTTATGATATCCATTTTCACTTTCAAAGTACTTGGAAGTTCCACATAGAAGGCTACATTGCCCCTTCCTCATCCACTGATCCAACCACTCAGGATCCCTTTGAGAAGAGAGAACAAGAGCAGCCTGTGCCACTAGGGAAAGGCCTTTGGAACATTTCCATTAAACTATAGAACAAGGGCATACCTAAACTAACTTTATGGGTGTCCCCTTTAGTGCTATATGGGTGCACCTAGTGCTTTCTCTAGCTATCCATTGTAGTTCAGTAGTATCAGAGCTTTTCCTGCCTGTGGGGTGAAGACTCCTCAAGCTGTGAATTTACAGTGGTTGCCCTGCTGTCACTGGAGCAGCATTCCCTAACTGGAAGAGGAGGTTCCAGCTGAAATAGGCCCCAGGAATTCCCCTTAAAGTGTGAAAAAGCAATAATCAAAATTATCCCCAAATATGGAGGACCAATTAGATCATTGTGTGTGCTAATCAGTAATTAAGAAGCAGCCAGCTGATCTCAGCATGTGGTAGAAATCAGGGCACTTCTCTTCTGCAGGAAGATGCCAAACTCAATGTACTACAAGTGCTTCCATGGTTTTCCTCTGCAAGAAGCAAGAATGAAAGGTAATCTGGAGTTACTGGTGAGATGATGAGTTCTATCATGGGTCTCTCCTTTCAATTCCTCTCTCTGCCCAGGGCCACAAAACCCACTCTCAGGTGCTACTGTGGTGGCTATATGCCATTCACTCTGTTCTGATTTTCTCTCTTCTCTCCTGTTTCCTCCCTCCCTTTAGCCCAAGGTCCGTCATGATGGAAATCATCCTTTCTCATCATGGGTAGGATGAGGCCCAGCTGAATAGTTACTTGGACTTTCTGAGGAATTTCAGCAATATAGTAATCTCAATCTCTGTCTGTCTGTCTTTCTGTCTATCTCTCTCTCAACGGAAGAAGAGATACACAATTTTGTAAGAGGGGAGTAAGTTGCTGAAGAAAGTGCTAAAATTAAGAAGTTTTGGATGGGCGTCTAATGATAAGAGTCTTCTGGCCTCTACAGAACATCTCTTTTCTCATGAACACCCACCCTCCATCCCTAGTTATGTGTATCTACTTAAAGGCAGGTCTTTCTCTTTGATGTCTACATTGTGTGGGTAAACATGTGGTCTTAGCAGGTAACAGTAAGTTTAAGCACCATAAACCAGTAAGGTCCCTCTCAACATCTCTTTACTGTTATTAAAGCAAATAATTGTTATAGCTTCTAATTCTGACTTTTAAAATATTAATAGGAGGGGGGAAGCCCTAACTCTAATGATTTCAAGCAACTCGTTTTATAGCTTGTTGAACATGGCAAGTTGGCCCTAGTGTGCTCCCTGCCCACTTGTGATTTTTTTTTCAAGCCTGTGTAAATTACTCCTCCATCCTAGAGCAAGAAATGTGGGCAGAAGGAACAAAGTTAATGGCCAGATTGATTGGCAGCTGGACAGACCTGGGATTAGCAGGTGCCAGCTGCAGCATTCATTGGCCTTTCACTTGGAGGTGAATAGTAACAACTATTTTTATATGTGTAATACAAAGAATTAGGGAACCTTGGGAAAAATGTCCTTCTTTATCATGTGCCTGAAACAATACAAAACAAATCTTTCCATGCAGTTGTGACTTGAGAATGAATGAAAGTCACTAGCCTGATTATAAAGACCACTTAATAGGCAGAGGATAACATGTGGATATACTATTTAAAATGGTGAATGTCAACATATGGTGAGTGTGTGTTGAATCATTTTCTATGTTTCAATGTAATGGGGCTTGTCTAACAAAGTACCATGGACTGAGTGACTCAAAACAAAGGAAATGCATGGTTTCAAAGTTGTGGAGGTGAGAAGTTTGAGATCAAGATATGAGCATGGCATGCTCACTGAGGAGCATGTAGGGGAGAACACTTCCTTGTCCTGTGTTCCTTGGCTTGGAGATGAACCCATCCTTTTAATTTTCTGTTTCACACATTACAATCCCTGTGAGTCTTCCTGTCATCTTCCCTCTATGTATGTGTCTGTTTCTAAGTTCAAATTTCCATTATTGTAAGGATAGTAGTCATATAGATTAAGCCCTACCCAAATGATCTCATTTTTACTTGATTACTTGATAAAGATCCTATTTCCAAATAAGGCCACATTCTCAGGTACTGAGATCTAGAAATTCAACTTATCTGCACATGTGTGTGTGTTGACTGGGGTATGATTCATCCTATCACATCTTGCAGACTATTGTAAACTTACATCAGCCAAGCCAATCTTTGTTTGGACTGGACATTTTTAAAAAGGATGAATTTCCTTGTGAAAATAGTGTACATTTCCTTGTAAAAATTCCCAACCTGGCTTTGATTCAACTGAAGAGATATTAAAATTTGTTTTCCTTTAGAAAGAAAGGCTCAGTTGTGTACCTCGTGGTTGAATAGGTTGGTACTAA